ATCTGCATATCCACACTTATGCAGGTATATTATAGTGATTTAAAAATCGAACCGAACCGGACGGTTGGATTAGTTAACCGGTCAGGCTAACAGTTCGGTCAAGCAAAAAAAACTGTTTGGGGAGTTGAGCCAGTCAGGCCACTTTGAATCAGCAGTCAGACTGGGAACCAGTTCCGAGTTTCAAAAACCAGACTATTCAAAAAATGCTTATTTTTTTATTTTTTTGTCAAATTTTTTTTAGACAATGACCAATTTTTTTTTTATCATTTGATGTTATATTGTATTATGTGGTTTATTAAATCATGATAAACTTAAAATATTTAATTTTATTTTTAAGTTAAGTCGTAATTTCATATTTATTTCTTATATTTAAATTATTACATACATATATAATTTTTTAATTTAATTGTTATGTCACCAGTTCGACTATTAGTCCAATCCAATTGAACCATGCGAACCGTGAACTGCTAACCTTTTCGGTTTAATGTCCGGTCTGATTCTGAAAACATTGATATATTGTGACAACATGGCAACAATGCATATTTCAAAGAATCTCATTCATCACAATGGAATGAAAGGTGTTGAAATTGAAAACATTTTAATTAGTTAGAATCAGCTTTTATTTTAATTGTTTTGACTGAATCAGGGTGATAATTTCTTGGGAGATTAGCAAAGATTATCTCAGCTAAATAACTCTTTGTATCTAATCATAACAATTAATGGAATAAAGCCTCGATTACAAGCATGTCCTAAATCTGAAATTAATTTTAAACAATGCTCAAGTTAAACCAGTTAATTCATTACAGCCGATTTGAACTAATGACTTAACAAATAACAAGTGAAATCAAGATGTTCACACTAGAAAGCCATGAGTTTCAATGGGCAACATAGAGCCATGATCTATCATAATAATAACGTCGAGTAACAAACATAACAAAGAACTCTTCCAAGAAAAAGAAAATGCAATCAAGATGCTACTTAAATCTTATGTTAACTAATGAAACAATATTCTAAAGCAGCGCATACCTTTCTTGCCATTAAATCTCTTGTCTTGAGGCAACCCATCTTTGCGGTACTGATTTATTTGCACTTCAACTTCTTTTGGTGTGGCTTTGTTTTTCTTGACAACAGCCTTAGCCTCATCATAGACACTGCCACGTGCTCCATGTTCAGATATGGCAAGTACAAAATTTGAGCGCCAAAGAAGTGCTTCCAACACACCCAATGGATCCCTCCTAAATTGGGACTTCGAGTCTACCCAAATAGAGTATTCTGCTTGAGGAAATAGGCGATGGCTTAACATCTGAAAGATATTTCAGCACACAGTATTATAAAGAAAGTGAATGAAAGGAAGTTTTAGCAGAGGACAAAATGAAATGGAATTTATGCCCGAGTTTTTTTCTTTTCTTTTCTTTTTTTGGTTGGGGGGGGGAGATGAAATGAAGCTATACAACTACAACTTGCATTTGCACTTAAATATGGGAGCCAAGATCCTGACAATGATACCTTGGGAATTTTACCATTCAATCTCTGATCAGAAAAAGGAAGATCCCTTACAACCACAACACGCCATTTGCCAATAAATCCACTTTCTCCAATTCTGTGGCCCACTAATTCTTGTGCTCTTACAGTGATTTCATCCCAGAATGCTAAATAGCAGACCTGCATGCCACTAAATAGATTTGGAAGATAAGATTTTTTACTTAACTTTATCAGTAATAAACTCCATTCGTACATGACTAACCTTTTTAAGTGATGCCTCTGACATACCAATGGGCTGGTAGAGATCGTCTCCACCACCAAACGCACAGGTAGATACTACAACTTTGCAAGCTTTCATATAACTTTTATCTTTATCAGTTATCTTAAACCCTCCAGCTGAACTATAGAACCCACAATGTACCTCCATAGTTTCTTTCACCTATATTTGGAAACAGAGGGTACATGACTAAAGCCAAACTTATAAAGTAGTGAAAGTAGCTAAAGTAGACTCATCCCTCTCTTTCAAAAAGGGGGGAATCCAAGGAGAACCATGCCATGTCGTAGATTAATTATCCTATATCATCAAAATACTGAGCAGCAGTTGATTACCTCAAAACTTCTCTCTCTTTCATGAAGTGTTTGATTTCCAGTAAATAAATTAAAACTCATAACTTCTGAATTCTGTTGAGTCGAGGCAGTATTCCCCCCTACAAAATATGTGTCACTCTCTGATATATATAAAACTTTATTAACAGGGTCTTTGTAGTCTTTTTCCATGGGGAGATCTAAATGTTCGAGTTCTTCGGGTGGTAGGATCTTCAAGCAACCTGATAGGATCAATTCACACGTCATATAAGGTGCTACTTGGAATGCCTAACACATCTTAACACAAATGAATGTTTAACCATTTGGGCATAACGGGAAAGGAATGATAGCTAAAGAAAGAAGCACAGTAGCGGCCAGGGTCAAATGCATATTGAACCATTCAGGATGACACTGACACGTGTCAGGACCAGTAACAAGGAGATAGCTCAGATTCACTGGGCCAGGTTATAAAGTATTACACTTCATTTCCTGTTTAAAGAAGCTTCACCCTACTTCTGCTATATTAGAAGCTATCAAGCAAAATTGCAGAAATTCATATATGTAAAGCAACGAGAAACATATTGTAAGCAGAAATGTTAAGACAATTGGACACTGAGATGGGCCAAGGATAGTATTGTAGCCACAACTGCGCCACTCAGTTAATGCAAGGCGATTGGAAATTCCCAGCATTTCAGCACAATAAAAGTGAAGCATCAACTGACACTGGTGTTTGGTAAATTTGTGACACGAAATGGCTCAAACCGTCACAACCTACACTGCAAACACGACTGCAACTAAACGCTCATATAAACATAACATGATACAAACTCTGCAATATAATATATATATATATATATATATATATGTATATGTATATGTATATATGGAGTATCTGGTACATGTGCCGCCCAGCACCCTTGACAAGGACAAAACTCATTTTAGGAGGGGTAACTGCTCGGCAGATTCTAAGCAAAGGTTCAAACCTAGGCTGGGAGTTGTTAACAGATTAACAAACAACGCCAAAAGGTTGCTTAAGCAGATCTGTTAAAGACTCTGGCAGTTATAATCATAAAAGACAGTGACGTGTAACTCGAATACAACTCCACCGAAAGTTTCAGCATGAGATCACGAATTTCATTGAACAACCCATGACTGATAGAGTAAAATCTAAAATTAGTTACTTTAACATAAGCTCGGCGAGATAACTGGAAACTTCTCGACTTACGCTGTCGGACACCGCCAATAACACGGCTAGTAGGATCAAGCCGATTCAAATTGCTCTTCGGATCTTTCCCCAATGTGGGTGTAGATTGATCAACTTTGTTAAATTCCAAGTTAAACTGAGACGGTTCGTCTGGTGTACCAAGCTGTGAGTTCACCCTCAAACCAGGTTTGGTGCCTATTATGAAAGCCTCGAATACCAGGAAACCCACAACTGGAATAATGATGAGCAGCATCCAGTATTTCAATAGCTTCTTGAGCAGGCGTAGAGCGAACCCGTTCTCGCCTCTGTGCAGGAGTTTCTTACGCTTCCGTCGCGCACGGACCCGCATCCGACCAAGGTCATCAGATTCATCGTCCAGAACAGAGATCGCTACGTTGCTGCTGTTGTCGAACATTGTAGCAAAACGATAATTGGTGGGAAGGTATGCTACCAGAATCCAGACTGATGTTAGGGTTAACCGAAATGAAGATTACCGTGGCCCGTCCACGGAACGGGAACCCTGCGGGGACAGGAAAATAGAACAGAATTACATTTGCCGGGTTAAGCCCTTTTTTGACGAGTCACAGGTTCAGTGGTTCCTTTTCTTAATATATATATATATATAAATTAAGTTTACTTTTTAACAGAATTAAAATACATGTAGTATTTTTTTAATATTCAAGATATTATTAAATTATAAAAATATGCCATTTCCTTCATAAAATTCATGCGCCGGTAGTGCTTAATTGATTAAACTATCATCAAGGATTGTAAATTTTAATAAAAATTTATTAACAATAAAGATATCAAAATGTACAAAAATATGTTGTTGAATATTTGGGTCCCTGTGGGTCGAATTTGATCATCTTGCCTAAAATTGTTCAAATGTCGAAAATTTATGTTCGTACCCAACAACCCTTTGTGATGTTTAAAATGAAGTAATTTGCGTGGTTGAAGGATTGCTCTCCACAGCAAGTAGCGAAGTCATATAAGAAGGGAGTAAACTAAAAGTGGCCGGAATGACTATCTGCTGCAGCTTCTCACTGCAAACTTACTGACTTTTCCTGTTACCGTTAGCTTTAGGAAATTTATTCTGAAAGGATTCGTCCAGAAAGTCTGATTACAGATTGTACAATCTTCTCTGTTAAGACAATTGACAATTACTACTTTGTTCCCTGTTGAGAGAAATCAAATACAACGTAATCTGTATCCATTTTTTTTTGGAACAACGCTCTGTAAGTCGCATCTGATTCCTCGTCAGCACACCAAGTTCACGGTACTTTGTACAATAACTCCAAAAGAAAAGGTACTAACAGGATCAGCTAGGTGAAGCTCTCAATCATTTCACCTCCCCATGCGTGGACTGTTACTATTTATGGTGGGTGATATTCTTGGCAGCAGATTAGCCTGTATCTTTAATAAGCTGGAAACAATGTCTGCCATGCTTGGTCTCCTTTCTGGTTCTTGGATTAAGCAGGCTACACTTATTTTAGCTAGCTCAATAGCACATGCTTTGCCATTATTCCTTCCAGTAAGGCTAGGATCAATGAACGAACTAAGATTGGCTTCAGCATCCTCCTTTGCCATGACAGATCCTATAACTGTAGAAAGCATTGCTTCACTTCCAGCTTGCACAATGATAGAATCTTTCCCTGTGATCAGTTCCAGCAACACCACTCCAAAGGCGTACACGTCCATTTTGGGACTGACTAATCCTGCTTCTTGATACTCAGGAGCCATATAACCTCTGTTCCCACCACCTGTGATTGCAAATTATATCCCCTTCTGACTCTTTTGCAAGACGAAAATTTGCAATCTTGGCCCTGACGTTCTTGTTTAGTAGAATGTTGCTAGTGTTGATGTCCTTGTGCACGTAGCAAGGTTCAGTGAAGTTGTGAAGATATTGAAGTCCGTTGGCAATATCCAGAGAAATCTGGATCCTCTTGCCCCAACTCTGGTGCTCCGTGGGTACATTTTTTTCAAGCCACTCTCTCAGAGAGCCATTCTCCATGTATTCAAAAACTAGGTAGAAGAAGCCTTCGTTTTTGCAGTAACCTTGCAGCTTTATGACGTTGAAATGATTGATCTTCTTCAGCATTTTCACTTCCTTGGACGCATCTGTCCTCATTCTCTTGACAGCCAAGATGTCCTTGCCAAACACTCCCCAGTACACTGAGCCTCCTAATCTATTCTTTGAACTGAAATCCTCGGTCGCCTCCTTTATTTCCTCGAATCTGTACTCTTTAGAAACATGCTCAATGCCTGCAATCTCGTCACGAATTTCTTCCGAAGACGCGAGCTTGGTTTTTCTTATCGTATAACGTGCCTCAACGAAAGTCACCGATCTCTTCCTCAACAGAAACACGGAAAACAAAGTCACACACAGAACCAGCAACGAAAGTCACCCCCCTGGGTGCCAACACCCCCCTGTGGTGCGACATAGAGTTTAGTTTTAGCCTTGCCATTTTTGGTAGGGGAAACAAGAGGAGGAGGAGGGAGAGAGGCTGGTGGTAGACCAGGGTGAACTATGGAGGTTGAGTTGTCAGGTTCACTGGGCAGGGAATCAGAATAGTTGTGAATGGATAAAGAGTGGATGTGGTAATAACATTAGCATCAAGTACAGAACTTGAGCTTACTTTGTATCTTGTAGCAAGAGAAGATACATTATCACCCCAATCAACTGCGTAAGTTAGTAAATACTTGGTGCCACTGGCAATTTGAGACTGAGTTGGACAAGCACATCGAAGTGGCACGTGTAACTGCATACCAGCATGCAAATCTAATGCCCCATATGGATTGTAACGCAAGAGAGAATTGCAAGTGGACAATCCCTGATAGGTGTCATTTGCTATTGTGAAATAAGTTTGGATTGTGGGCAAGGTATAATTAGTATCAGCTTGGTAATAGTCCTTAGTTTTGCAGTTACAGTTGACAGGAACAATTACCTCTTTGCCGGTTGGGAACACAGTGAACATAGACACGCGGTTGATTGCGGCGAGCTCTTCTGGTTCTGATGATGTCAGATTTGAAATTGAAGTAACTGTGTTGTAAGGAGGTTGGGACTTGAAGATGAGGAAGGCCAGACACGATTTGCTCAGGCCATTGCAGGTGTAAAGGAAAGCTGATGAAGGCCTGTTTTCATGTTTGATGCTGCAGTTGAGTACGGAATTTCCTGAGTAATTCTGCTCTGCTCTGGCATTTGAAGACACAAAGTATAGCATGAACAGAGTTATGAGAAACTGTTCCATTCTTTCAAAGATGGTTACTTGGAAGACGAGAAGTTTGAGCATTCCTGTATGATGATTTAAGATATTATAGAAATATGTGCTTATTTTTTATATTGGTGCGAATTGACATATATATTACTGGAGCACCATACGCAACGCGAGGTGGAAGATAAGGAACCAATAAATAGATAAAAATTATCGTGTCAAAATTTTGCTGACTAATTCGAAGCAATATTTTTTATTACCAAGATAGTAACTTCCTCCTACCTGGCCCGCAGTTTCTCATACTCGGTCCGTTGTTTGATTTACAAAGAGCGATATTGCAGTTGAAAAGCCTGACCCAGTCTTTGATGAAAGACAAAAAGGATACAGAGAAGATTAATTATTTTGTATGCATGTTTAATACACAGGTATGAAATACGTCAACTTGGGCGGTTTCTTGTGTGAACCATTGGGGTTTAACTTTAAATACGCCTTGCAGAAAAAATGATGGAAACTATGTTACACTGGTTTTGAAAAATGAGTCTTTTATTGAACTGATGATTTGTTATTATTTGTTGTTTGTCCATCAACCTGGGCTTGAACTATCCGTAAGCGGATCTTCCTACGCGTTTTCAATTTCTAATAATTAACTGATCATAATTTAACCTTCATTTTTTTTTTTACCATTATCATGATTTAGCCTTCAAGAATTTAAGGGTCAGGGTAAAAAATACCAGCAAAGGGTTAAATCCAGGATATTGGAATAACAGGGACAGTGGAAGTGGTCTTTAAGTTTAATACACGGGGGGAAGAAATGACAGAATCTTGTAATCAGTCGCATCTTTCAACTGCTTACGCATGCAATACAAGCCGGCCACCTCGCGGTTGAATAACTGGATGCGTGTCGGTACGCTAATGGGTTTCTTTTAGTACGTTTCATTAGATTAATTTTGTAATTATAATACATATCAAGGAATTAGTATATTAGCTCAATTATAAAGTTCTTTTTATTGTTTTGATTGTGACTTTAACACGATGAGAAGGCGTTGATTGGACATTGAAGGTGCACCTTTTATTTTATAGCACTAGAGGGGCATAAATATATTACCTTCTAGAGACTTGTTCATTGTCTAATGCACCTCATGAGCCCTTTCATTGATTAAAATTTTCAGGGGGAGAATTTTTTTCGTCAAGTAAGAAGCTGGTCACGTACGTCCAGAAGTTATTGTTTTTGGAATCATACGCAAAACTACAAGCCCATAAATGTTTCTCCGTTCATTATTGGACCATTTCAATTCAAACCATTTAGCAGTGGGTGGATCCAAGAATGAAATTTCAGGAGCAAAACGGCAATTCCCGTGAAGATGACAAGCGCACACAATTTGGATAACATGAACACCTAAAACCTCTTTTGCAGTAGTTTTGTCATGATTGAAACTTGCAAATGAAAATTACGTTAGAGCTCCAAACCCTGTTTCATAAGCTGGCACAAAACAGTGTTCTGTTAAAAACAAGGACACAGAAAGAAGATGTGGAAAGCACGTAAAAAAATTGGCTGCGATTCGTAAAAATCAAGATATCCATTGTCGTCTGGATCAGATACCAGAATCGGCACACAACTGATTGGGGGATTTCACGGGGTCGCAAATACAATTAGTCAGGACCAAATAAATAATTAGAATAGTTTCTCGCAGTGCAAAAAACATATGCCAACGTCTCATGTAAGTTCAACCGTTGCATAAATATTTTAATTAAGATGCTGACTTGTTTCATAGGTCAGCCGCTGATGCACATGTCATGTTCAGCTATGCTTGTACCTGTTTATCTTCATTCACAAAAGGAATGATATAAAGAGCGCATTTGGTGAGCGAATGACATGAAAGAATGTGAATATGTAATTGTGTGCGATGCTCGTATTTGCTAGATTACAAGTAGCAGTGTGCTAAATTAGGATTTAATAATGGTTAAAAAAACAAATGATATGCCACCATACTATAAGAACATCAGCTTATATTTAATAATTATGTGTAGAGTGCACTACTTCATTTTTCCTATCTTTTTAAATGCATTCCCTATGTTTATTTTATAACCATTAAACGTTGTGTTGACGGGTTGCTCCCTCTGTGCAAAACACATATCATGTTATCATGTTCTATACACACTAGCATCATTTGTGACCCTTTAAATTATATTACAAGGGAGGCAACAGAAGTTTCAATTGAATGGCCTTGACATGGCACGGACTGTATAACTCACAAATTTCCCAAACAAAGGACTTTTCTTTTTGCATCTTTCAGTGAATTCTTTTATGTTATTTTCTTTTTAATTTTATTTATTTGTTTCCTCATTTTGCTTTGAAAGTTATATACTTCCACATTGCACGGCTCAATTAACTAGTTATTGATTTGTCTAGCTTGATTAATTGAAGAAATCAAGGAACTGATAAAAAGAAATGATGCATTGACAGGGTTTAATATGTGGTTTACGGATATCTTAATTCAAAATGAAGACAAATTAGTCCTGCTAAATGAAATGGGGACTGAGATATAAGAATTATGAAAAGCGTCTGACCATAAAAATGGAAAGTAACGCCAATGATATGGAAACACATTGTTGTAGTAAAGTTAAAAAAGTGGTTGTCAACGATGACACTAGTGCCATTGACGAGCATGTACAAGATACCAAACTTCAATGCCCAATCCTAACCACTACAAACTATTAAGTAGTGGTCCTTCTATTGTGGACGCAATTCACGGAGTACGATTAATATTTGACATTTTGAGGGCATGAGCGTGAAACGTGGTATAATATTAACAGTGGAAGAAAACATCGCGAGAATTTGAGTGGGTGAATAATAGCAATCGCTTCATTAAACAACTCTCAGTAACATCTCCTTTTTTTATATATATACAAACAAGGGAAAGAGTAGACACTAAACAACGATACCAATGTCCCGAACCAAAATTATATCTAACCTAGGAGGATGATACATCTAACCCAGGGGGATGAGAACATAAAGGATGAAAACCAACAACAACAAAAAGAGCCATTTTGGCAAGTATATCCACAACTTCAATAGAATCTCTCGCAATTCTTTGACTTTGCACTACCCACCCTCAATCCAAAAATGCTCAAATTTCCACAATAATTCTAGCATTGGGATGATTAAAGGGCTTGTCATTGTGAATCGAATCAATGGCTTCTATTGAATCAAATTCTAGGATAATCTTCCTATAACCAAAATCCCAAGCTAGTTTAAGGCCCAACAAACAAGACCACAGTTCAATTCAAAGCAAATCACCCCCATTCATCTTGAATGAAAATATCCAACTCTAAATGTTTAGGTGGAGTCTCAAATTAAACCACCACAACCAACTATTGAGATTAGTAGAGAAAACACCATCCACATTGAGTTTCAGCTAATCATCTCCTGGTGGATTCCAATTCCCATCAATAATAGGTCTGTCTTGCTTTCTCCAATAGAGTACCCTTTAGCTTACTATGATACTACATGAAGGTATTAACTAACACCTTAGCGTTAATAGAGACATTGGTAGGAGTTTTATTTTGAAAAGTTTTCTCATTCCTTCATCCGTAAATTTAAAGGAGCCAACAAGCTAGGAAAAAAATATGAATTCCAAGGAATCCCCTTGCTTAATTTATTAAGACTGCATGTTTGATCTAATTCACTCCTTTAGCTCTACTTTAAAGAACACCTTTCTATTTTTAAGGTCAAATATCTCTAGCCAGAACATTTTTATCTCCGGGCAATCTTACAATGTATGTGTGATGTCCTCCACAACATCCTTGCAAATCTTGCAATGGTTATCTATATGCATTCTATACTTCTTGCGACCTGCATTAATAAGAAACTTATTATGATCAAACACCCATAAAAAAGACTTACATCTTTTAGGGGACTCATAGCTTCTAAATCCTTCACCAAGTAGTGTCACGAGTTGTAGGTGATGGGGACAAGGATTCATAGGTAGGCCTGACTGGAAATTTGCTACTATTATTCCACTTCCAAGTAACACCTGCTCCATATATAATAATGATAGTTTCAGGTGTAACATGCTCCCATGTGGATTTGAGGCCTACCCAAATGCTTGACCTTGCTCATTTTCCATCAATCTTGGCAACACATCTGATTCACATTTATAGTTGTTGTGAATGACTTGTACCCAAAGATCATCACGACGCTCAATGAGACCCTACCCCATCTTTAGTTGGAAGGCTTAATTTTGTAGGCATGTGTGTTTAATACCAAGTCCACCATGACTCTTTGGTTTATAGACTTTATCTCAAGCAACTTGGTATACTTTTCTTTGCCCAATAGCAATAATTTATATGAAGTTTTTCAAATATTTTTCAATTTTGATCACAGGTTATATAAGAGATATGTTTGTCCCTATAGTTTTGATGATAAGTGATTTTTTTCATGGGTGCACCAAGACTCATATTATGCCTACGTAACTTGAGACAAGCACAAATTATCACATTTCTAGCACTAACCATTGCTAATTCTTGTAGAAGATTGATGACGAGAAGAGTAGGTGAAAAAAACACTTTAAGCTCTTAATGTATCCTCCATGGCAGATTTGCCAATGGTTGGATTAGTTTTAGTATAGAAAAGTGTGAATCAATGTTAAGAACTTTGTCTCTAAAAGAGATAGTTTCTTTATAACTATCATTCACATCTATATTTGAATCTTTCTTGCTTATAGAGAGAAGATCAGCTTCTTTTGTCGTACTCCTCCTACTAGAATGTATAGACCTCCCTTTTATCTAGAATGTTTCACCTTGATAGACGATGGAAATTAATTTGATCCTACTATTGTCACTATCTCTTTAAAATTTTCTATAAAAATATCTACAAAAAATATTTAAATATTTACATAGATTTTTGTAGAGACTATCTTAAGATATGTCTAAAATATTCTAAAACGTCTTAAAATATTATAGATATCTTCATATCCTTTTATAAGCTTACAAATCCTTGCAGATTGTTCTATATATTTTTAGATTATTTCAAATGC